GGCGGCGGTCGACCGAACCAATTCTCGAGAGTTAAATCGTCTACAGGGTTCGCACGATCGACCGTCACGGTCGACCGCCTTCAACTCCAGAGCCTCCTGCTCTCCTGTGCATGTTCGCGGTCGACCGGCGCTGACTCGCGGTCGACCACCAGTCTGCTTGGCTGATTCCTGCTAATTTCCTGAACTTCTCTCGTCACTTCTCCATTTAGTTGAGGTAGTATATAATTTTTCACATGTAAGTGATATTATGTGTCGTGATTTGTACGTGTTTCTTTGATAAAAATGTTGGAGACAGTGTATAAACATTCTATATCTGAATAAATCAAATTATAATTCATGAAAGTTGAACCCCTTCGTATATTTATTTATCTCTAATAGTTAGATGGTAGTTAGAAATTCAGTAGATTCTCCAGCTGACGTACATTCTGATCCATGAGGATCAGCAAGTGATGAGGAGAAAAAATTGGATCTTGGAATGAAGCGAATCCAAGGTGTCACCTTTTGTCTGCTCATTTGGGAGAGTTGGTGCCCCTACTCACGGGTTGTCAATCCCTTTGCCCTTTGCTTCCTCGTGAACTTCCTTTGTCCTCAGGCAGCGTGTCGCAAATAATAGAAAAGGCTTTACGGACTCCAACAAAAAATAGAAAAGGCTTACGGACTCCAACTTTGTTTGATATAACTGAAACTGTAAACGCAACTATCGACTTAAATACAGCTGTGATTTTTGAAGCAGCTATCAGATGTACGAGATTAGATAGTTACAAATATTTGAATTAGTTCTAAAATTTTACGATTTGCATCTATGGTTATTGCTTTCACTAGATTTCAGCAAATAAGATAGGGATGGAAAAGGTAGCTGAGAAAAGAGCAGCCTTAGTATGGATTTGTGATCTTTACAAATGACAGGATAGTAACAATAAGTCCTTGAATATACAATGAAAATTATATACTATTCTTGAAATATTAGTACATTTAATTGTTGCACCTATGATCTAAGTATTTTTCTATATTTTCTGTAGTATTTTTTGGAATTGTTTTGATAGATCGTGCATTGTAATGGTCATTTGCTTGGAGATGTGATCTAACTTAAAGTTTCTTTAAACTTGTATTTAACTGATAACTGATAAATTATAACTTTGTTATAACTGGTTATTGTGCATGACACCGATATGCGAGATGTGATAGTAGGTCTCAATAACCGAGAATGGAGATTCCTCGGGTGCATGTTATAAGCACACAATGTGATGTGCGTAGCACTAGATTGCATTTGGATTCTCTCGGACTAGTCACCTAAGAAATAGAGAATTTTAATTGTTACATAATCCTTTTGACTTAATGATATTGTCATTTTTTATTTGATAATTTAATATGCTTTGATGTGATGGTTAAGCTTGTCTAGCAAGCGCTATATAACCTGAAATATTGGGTTGCTAGATTCCATTTAGGAAAATGATAAAGGTCTATTTAGGATCCAATATGTTAATTATGATGAGTTAAGTTATTATGCATACCCATGAAGTAATTAAATTTTCGTCGACAGATGATTTTAAAAAATAATTTTCAAAGTTTATGTTCTTATGAAAATAAAATATTTGACATTTTAAAATATTTTTTATTTATGTTCATGGGAATCGCAATTTAAGCATGAGCAATTAGGTGAATTGTCCCGCTCAAAAAAGTTGTCTAAAATAAATCGATGCTAGAGGGGGTGGAATGGAAGATATTATTTATATATATCATATATTATGGAAGAGCTTTTACAGACAATTAGGCAGATATGGATGTTTCAGATCTTCTATATTGCAATTAACACAAATTACAATAAAAAGATTATATTGAAACAAAGAAAAAATTTATTTTTTCTGGGGTTTTTTCTATGTGTTGATGGAGCGTCAATCTTATACTCTGTTGACGGTCCGATAAGACGATGGGCCTTTTGTTGATTGATGATTTTCTAACTTAGTTGCTTAGAAGAGATCTCAGTCTTCTTTTAGAACTGAAATAGAAGAAATTTGTGCGTCTTCCTGATCAGTACCTCGAATGAACAATCTTCTTCTCCTTTTATAGCTAAGAGAGAGTTAATGACCTTTAATTATGGATTAAGTGGCCATTAAAGTAGGAGATAGTGGAGAAGCGGTTATCCCCTTAAAAATAGCCATCTAATTCATAGGTGATGTGGCCTTGTGGGTAGCTGCGGGAGAAGTTCGTTAATGGGCTGGTTGGTGAACTTCGCTGGTGAAGTTGATTAGTTAGTGACCTTCACTTATGTGTTCCAATTAAGTACATCATTTGACTCCTGATTTGGCCGACCTAGTGATGCTTTTCGACTCGACCGTGAAGTCCAAATTGGTAGTCGACCCGCTCTTGACTTGGTCAGATCGAGTTGAGATGAGACATGCGGCAAGGTTCACATGTTTAGTTATAAACGAACCTCGCTATAACTTGTTATGGGCTTGAATTTAGGCTCATTTGATGTGTTTACCCCATAAGCATCCACTTCTTGCATCCAAGCTGAACATTGGCCTAGATAAGATACATTTTACCATCTATACGTGTAGAACCCCGTAATTTTTATATAAATATATGTGAATTATTAGTAAATAAATAATTCTTTTATGATAAATAGCTTGAGGTCATTGATATACATGATAATAAGTTATTTGAGATGATATGAGAGTTTGGGTGTAGAGTTTTGTGCGTTGGTTTTGCAAATTTGCAAAACATGCACAAAAAACTAAATTTTTCCAGATCAGTCGACACATCAGTCGACTGACTGTATCGGTCGACACATCAGTCGACTGATACGCTGATTTCCAGTTTTTCAGGTTTCGGGTCTGTTTTGATTTGGTTCGGGTTTGGGTCGGGTTTAACTGTTCATACATATCCTCCTTCACCCGAAATCACCCCTCATATCTTCAGATCTGAGAAAAACCCTAGCCCCCTCTCCCCTATCTCAAACCCTAGTTTTGCTCTTGGTAAATTGGGGAAGAACTTGGAGGATTTTCGTCGAAATCTTCTCATTACAGCAAAGGGGATCCACTCTCTCTCAGATCCAGGAGTTGTTCATCACCCAGAGGCGAGTAACGTCTCGTCCAACTTTGTCCTATTTTTTTAAAGGTTTTCAAAGGGTTGTTATGAGTTTTGATGAGCCAAAAATGTAATTTTTGTACAAAGAATTGATTTTTATAGCACACTACAACAAATTGCACTTTTCCCGACGCTTATTCCCGACGCATGGTTAAATACGTCGGTAAAAATTATATTTTTCCCGACGCTTTTAGTTAGCGTCGGCAAAAAATATATTTTTCCCGACGTTTATAATTAGCGTCGCTAAAAGTGTATATTATTAGCGACGTTCTAACTTAGCGTCGGCAAAAGTTATGGATTTCCCGACGTTTTTTTATTTTCGTTGGCAAAAGTATAGCTTTTTAGCGACGTTTTAGGATTAGCGTCGCTAATAATATGCATTTATCGCGACGTGTTAAGTTAACGTCGCTAAAAGTCTCTTTTTCCCGACGTTCTTGTTTTGCGTCGCTAAAAGGTTACTTTTTACGACGCTGTTTCGTTCATCCGCGTCGCCAAAAAAACACCCCAAATTTTTACCTATAGGCGGGAAATTTCCCCCCTTTATTTTCGCGAAAAAGAGAAAAAAACTCAGAATCCCCGTTCTCTCTCTCTTTCTCTCTCTCATTAGAAAACCTGCCCCAAACCCCCGTGCTCGCCGCTTTCGTCGGAGTTCACCGCCTCCATCGGAGTTCACCGCCGCCATCGATCCCTGAAGCTCGCCGCCGCCGTCGACCCAAATCGGATCTCGCCGAATCGGATCTCGCCACCTCTCCTTCTCCTCTCCTCTTCCAAATCAAAATCCAAATTGAACGTAGAAGAGGAAAATGGCGGCGGCAGCAGCAGCTTTCCCATCTCCTCTTCAAGCTCTCTTGAATCTCGCCCAACGGTTCCGACGGGCAAAAAGCGAAGATCGAAGTTTGATTTCTGAAAACTTTCTGGCTTTTGTTTTCATGTTTATGGTGTGGAAATCTGTGATCTTTCTGTAGTATTTTGCTTAATTTTTGGTACTATTAAGTTTTCTTAGTTTCGCATATGGTCACCGATAAATCGGTATTTGGCATTTGCATGCCTTGAATTTTGACGTCCGGATGGTGAAAAACAGCCATATATATTAGCTAGTTTCAGGTTTCAATTTCTAATTAATTATTACATCAAGTTCATCTTGTATGAGTCCCTTAGGAGGGAATTTGAGCCAGATTAGTCGACTAATGCCTTCGGGAAATAATAAAGCTTTTAGATGGACTTAGTCCTCACAAACAAGGGAGAAAGACTTTGTTCAAAATTATAAATTATTTATGGTTCTTTTATAATAACAAAAAATATAAATATCAATTCTAATATGTTGAGTTTAGAAGACATTGAGGATTGAAGCCAAACTGAGATTGCAGTATCCTGGTACTGCTTATTATTAGAAATAGCTAATGAACCATCATATAGATATAAAATTTATATCATGAACAAATAATGGTGCGCGTGCAGTTACAAATAAGGGAAATCAATCTCGGGTCTCAACCACGGGATCTTGTATCTAGAAGATGCATATATGTTTCTAATTAGTTATACAGAAAGAGGAACCACGATGTCAATGAGATTGAACTATGTCTCGGAAAGAAGTAAAAGTACCGACTGACAATTATTTCTTTTATCACATTGAACTGATGCACAGTAATTTTCTCTAAAAGGCTTCTTAATTTCATTATTTGTTTTGTATTTAAT